GGGCGGGGCGGCAGGGCAGGTGCAGCAGGGAGCCTGCCCTCGCAGAGCCTTCCTGGCAGCCTCCTGGGGTCGTGGGGTCTCCGCGGAGCCGCCCCTCCTCCCCGCCACTCCCCTCCAGCAGCCCGTAGGAGCCACGCGGCGTGGAGCCGTGCTGGCAGGCGGCCAGGCGCAGGCTGAGCCAGGGCCCACTCCTGGGACCGCGGGGCGCCGCCGGCCCCGGCGGGTGGGGCCAGAGACCCTCGCGGAAAGGAGCGGCCAGTGTCCTGGCAGTGCCCTGGCCAGGGGCCCGGGGCTGCGCGGGGCCCGTGGACACCGGCACCGCTCAGCTCGGGGCCTGCGCGGCCGCGCTCCCCTCCCTTCAGGGCAGCTGCTTCGGCCCCCACCGCGCCAAGGCCGGACACGATCTGCAGGCCCACGGGGGTCTCCGCGACCCTGAGCCGGCGAGGCCGCAGCTGCCACCCCCTCAGACCCTCCCGCCCTGCACGGCCGGATGCCTCTTCCTCTGGGTTTCCGGCACTGCGCTGCTACTTCTGGTTTCTATGGCAACTTGGAAAGAATCGAGTTGAGGCTGTTTGAGATCTAAAGCAGGAGCGGAGGAGCAGAGGTGGGAGAGCGGGTGGGCCAGCCCTGACCGGACCCTCGGCCAGCGCTCCGGACACAGCCGGCAGCAGGCTGGGAAGCCCTGTGAGCTGGGGGCAGCCCACAGCCAGCACTTTAGGGGAGTGCCTCGTGCCGCTCCAGCCGCCGGGACCCCCGGGGCAGCGAGGTCGTGGGGCGATGGCAGCTGGTGTTGCAGAGCACCTGCCGACGTTTCAGAGTGGCACGTGGAGCGCCAGGCCCGAGCCCCCGGCCCTTCACGCTGGACCTTTGGGCCGTGGGGCGTGTCCGCCGTGGGGAGTTCTCCTGGGCTGGCCGCTGGCGGCCCTGTCTCCCGCTTTACTGCTGGGGGAGACGCACGCTCCAGCAAACAGCTGGTTTTCATCGCCGTTGCCGAAAGTGCCACGACCTTGAGCCACATCTTGTCGGTGTCCCAGTCCTCCTGGTGTGGAGGCCTCCTTTCCGTGCCCACGGCTGGGGGCGGGTGGCCAGAGGGGCCGAGGCGCCTCGGGCGTGTCGGGGAATAGCTCCCCCACCCCGAGGTTTGCGGCTCGGCGGTGCCGTCCATGGCGCGGCCCCGGCCC